CGACGGTGATCGGCGGTCCTCGGGCTTGGCTCGTGGATCGTATTGATCTTCTACTTTATATTTCAAACACACTCTTCAACTTGTACTAGTGGAACAACAAGAAGAAGATAAATCTCGAATGGGAACTGAGAGAGAGAGAGAGAGATGGGACGTGCGGCGTGTTTCACGTGAAAGAGGAATTCACGTGTTCTCTTCTCATGAGCTTAATGATGTATATATAGAGCTACAGTACGGACCCTTAGAAGATTATGAGAAGGACTCCTTAATTAATTAAAAATACTTGTGGGTCAGTCCACTTATTCTTATTAATTAAATAATATTAAATGGGCCACCAACATAATATTATTGCACACCATTTTTCTAGCCCAATTTACAATTGTGACTCCAATAATAATTACTCGTTTATCTCCCTATGTTTAAGATATAATGTCTATTAATTAATCGATTACTGACAATCAAAAATTAATTAATTTATTATTATTTTACGGAAACTAGCGCTCGTTCATTACATTCATATTATGCTGGAATTTAATCCACCTGCAGGGTTGGCATAATAATCTTTCGTGAACTCACTCCGGGGACATCATCAAACTAAACGTACATGGTGACCGTAAATATCCTAACAACACATCCTACATGTAGCAATATTACCCTAAACAGCGGGTCTATTGGCTCAGCTCACTAAACCTCAACCATGTGAATCAAAGTGATAAGTACTACACATATATGCATGTTTAATATCTTACGGGTTAAGAGCACGCAGTAATTAACAGAGACCTAGTTCGTTTACGACGATCAGTATAAAACGAACTGTTCATCTGGGATCCTATTCAATACATAATTGTACTAGTGGAACTTATCAGCTAAGACAAAATGTACATTTGACACTACAACCGTTCTGATGGAGTGTTCATGTCCATCTAGGTTGTTAACCATTAGTTCTTGTTTCGCGAGTAACTGATAGCATGATCTTCGGTTCGCCCGATGACGACCCACACTATCTAATGCAAAACAACATAACATAGAACTTGTTTAATGTAACATGTTTCTCATTCATAAAGGGTAAAAGTGTAATATCATCCAAAGTCAAGCTTTCAGTATATAAAACTAACAAGATCGACGTGACTATCACTCGTAAGTGGCTTTTCAGAGGATTGTTAATCATTCCGACCGCATGTGCACATTCTAAAAAAGCCGGCAGCACCGTCAAACATGTCCCATCACATTTTGCATGGATCCAACCGGTGCTAACCTACGCTAATCTGTCAGAAGGCCCATACTGTCGAAACTCTAATTTTAGCTATAAATTCCGGTCTCCACCGTAGGAGGAAGGGGGCCATGTCCAAGGAAGATCATAGGGATTAAAAAAAATAAGAACATCCTCAACGCCCCTTACACATCCTAGAATAGCAGCTCTAGCCGATCATATTCTTTTGTTTTTAGGCCCGGAGCCACACTTGTAAACACATTTAACAATAAAATAGGCTCGAAGATCTAAATTTTCTCACCACGTCTGTTTTTCAGGGCGCTGAAATCGGTGTCGATCTATTTTCTAGGATTTTTCTTATCTCGTTACCAAATTAATTTTTTAAATCAGTTACCTTAATAAACAACCTCCAATTTTGTTGCCTTAAATACTTTTATCTCATAACTGTTGGTGGCCTGCCGTCAACACTCTTCAACATTTAAATGATCATTAAATGGATAATTTATATTTTATTTATCACACTTAAGTTTAAGAAAATAAATATATCGTGATCTATTTATAACGTAGATAATTAATTCAATCCGAATTATATTTTTATCCATTGAAGTATCAATCAAAATCGGGTTTTTATTGGTTGTAAGACATGTATACGACCTCTTCGACATGAGTCGAGGTCGTTAGTACTCCTGACGAGTCGTTGATCACTGACTCGAATTCTCTCAGGGCTGAAATAGACATGGTCACGGTTCGAACCGGCCCGCAGATTTATCCGGGCTGGTTCAGGTTCATATTTTTTTTCACATATTGAATAGCCGATTCCGAACCAGAACCTGGATTAATTTTTTTTTTAATTTTTTTTATTATTCTTTTAATTGTTGGTTCTGTCGTGAGTCGGTGGGTCAATTCTTAACCGTGAACCGTTGATTCAGTGAAACGACCCTCCATATATGTCTCCGATTCACATAAAACGGAACCGATCTAAAACCAGGTTTTGACCACATTTAGGTTGTAATGAGCAACAACAACTACTTCACACTTTGGCTTATTGAGCTATTGAATTTAGTTAGATAGTTTTTTTTTTTATATTATATTATAAAAGATAAAAATGCAATGTGCAAAATCATAACTAAAAGTTGAAATAAATGTCAATCTCATTTGAAAAAAATCATATTCAAAAAATACACATATGATTTACATTAGCTACAATGCAAGTCATCTAAATTTGGTAAGTAAGATTCTATCATCCGTGCGTAATTCAAAATATATTTCACCTTTTCTTTCTATCCCCTGCTGTCTCTCGCTTCTCTCTCTTCCTGCGAACCCAACCAAAATAAAATAAAAAAAATACCAAAA